TGATGGTTTGGGGGCCATGTCATCTGCTGGTGTTGGTCCACTGTGTTTTCTGAGGTCCAAGGTCAACGCAGCCATCTACCAGGAAGTTTTAGAGCATTTCCTGCTTTCTGCTGCTGACCAACTTTATGGAGATGCAGATTTCATTTTCCAACAGGACTTGGCACCTGCACACAGTGCCAAAGCTACCAGTACCTGGTTTAAGGACCATGGTATACCTGTTCTTAATTGGCCAGCAAACTCACCTGACCTTAACCCCATAGAAAATCTATGAGGTATTGTGAAGAGGAAGATGTGATACACCAGACCCAACAATTCAGAAGAGCTGAAGGTCACTATCAGAGGAACCTGGGCTCATAACACCTGAGCAGTGACACAGACTGATCCACTCCATGCCACGCCACATTGCTGCAGTAATCCAGACAAAAGGAGCAACAACTAAGTACTGAGTGCTGTACATGTTCATACTTTTCAGTTGGCCAACATTTCTAAAAATCCTTTTTTTTATTATTGGTCTTAAGTATTATTCTAATTTTCTGAGATATTTTGAGTTTTCATTAGTTATCAGTTATAATCATCAACATTAAAATAAATAAACATTTGAAATGTCTCAGTCTGTGTGTAATGAATGAATACAATATACAAGTTTAATTTTTTTAATGGAATTACTTAAATAAATCTACTTTTTCCTGACGATCTAATTTTATGACCCGCTCCTGTATACATTGATTATTGATGCATAATCACTCTTCAGATAAAAGGGTCTCTGTTAGCAGTGGCAGCTACATAAACAGTCCAGCGTTGACGGGACTTCAGAGCGACTAACATTAAGGGGTCACAGTTTAGGGGGGGTCTGAAAAGTCCACTTCCATTGCTTCTTCTGTCTCTAGTTGCCAACTTCGACCCGGACACCTTCAGTGTGATGCACTGTGAGTTCTGCAGCGCTGGCTTCGATACCCGGGCCGGCCTGTCCAGCCACGCCCGCGCCCACCTCCGAGACTTCGGCATCACCAACTGGGACGTGACCATCTCGCCGATCCACATTCTGAGGGAGCTGTTCTCCAGCAGGCCAGACCTGGCGATCCCCACGGCACCCCCGCGCAGCTATGAAAGCTCCTCGGAAGAGGAGGAGGAGGAGGGAGTTCTGGACGAGGATGAGAATGACTCTGAAGAGGGAGGGATAATCCAGGTGAAGCTTGAAGGGGAGGCGAGCGACAGGAGCCTCAGCCCTTCAGGTTCTGGTGTCCTGCCTGCAGCACGTCGTCGGCGCTCTCAGAGGAAGGACGGAGAGGGTGAGTTTAATCACGGATACGTTCCTGAAAGCATTAACACTGAGGATTTATTTTTTTAATTACACCTTTATTTAACCAGATAAAAACCCATTGAGATCAAGACCTCTTTCACAAGGATGACCTGGCCAAGAACAGGCGGCAGCAGCACACGCCATAAAAAACAAAACAAGGAGCAAGATTATGAAGACTTCAGAAATATATAAAAATATAAAACATACAGTATAACAGTAAATGTTAATAATTATTTAAAACAATAACAATTTAAGATCTAAAACACAGGCACTGTTGACAAGATATCCTTTTGTCGGTTTTTTAAAAGTTTGCAAAAAGCACTCAAAGTAGGAAGTTCTGTCAGTTTTAATTCATGTTGCAAGGCGTTCCAAGCTGAGGGGGCAGACAAGCTCAAAGCTTTCTGTTCGCACACGAGGAACACGAAGATGCAAACAGTCCTTAGAGCGTAAGGCAGAACTACTGTCCATTCTTCGTATAAAAGTACATAAATAATGTGGAAGCAGGCCAGTAAGAGACTTATAAACCAGTCATCCAATGCACACGTCGCCTGTTAAACAGGGAGGACATACTGGTTTTAAGATAGAGATCACAGTGATGAGTGAGGTAGCTACAACCAGTAATGAATGTTAATGCACAGTGGTACACTGGATTCACTGACTGTATACAACTTTTTGAAGCACACATATAAACAACATCGCCATAGTCAAGTATACTGGCAAAAAAGTAGCCGTGATCAAAAGCTTCCTTGCTCTAAGGGAGAAACATGATTTGTTTCTAAAGAAGAACGGAAGGAAGTGACAGGTTTGAGTTTTTGTGGCTGCCTGTCTGGTTAAGTGGTGATTCTGAATTGACCCTGGCTCTGTGTGTGTGTGTGTGTGTGTGTTGTCTCTGCTGTGGATTGGTCTCCCACTCACTGATTGCTGGTACAGACTCCTGCTCTCCCACCATGACTCTGAGCAGAAGTAGACGTTTGCACAAAATAGTCTTTTCCCTCCAGTAAAACCGTCAGCACAGTGTGGTTATTTTAGCCATGCTTGTTTTGGTGTGTGAAAGTGTTTGGACTTTGAGCCTGCGACTGTAATACCAGCAGAGCAGAGCGTGCTCAGACTTGTGGCATACATTGTGTGTTTGGGTTTGTTCTTAATAAAGAAACGGAAGCCTGACCTAAGAGACAGGTGTGCAAGCTAAAAAAACCCAACCCTGATGGAGCCGGGCAGCTCTTCAGATGGGAGGATCTAACGATGAACAGAGCGAGGCTTCTTGGAAGAATTATGAATTTAGACAAAACTCCTAGAGACTCCTCAAAACGTTGTTGTCAGTTGAACATAAAATAAACCACACCTGGAACAAACCTAACCTGTCGTCATGCTGAGAACGCCACCCCGCAGTGAAGCACGGTGGTGGCAGCATCATGCCGTGGGGATGTTCTTCATCAGCTGCGACTGGGAAATAAAGGAAATGGCTTGAGCAGAATATAAAGACTCTAGATATTTACGATAGGGATGGAGGTTCTCCTTTCAGCAGGAGTGCAACTTTAAACTGCTGCAGCACTCAGGTGGTTTAATTAAACATTAATTAATTATCTTGAAAAATCTCAAGAGCCCGGACCTTGGCAAGCAAATTAAGAATCTGGTAGGTCCAACAAAGTTAAGTCAGGTCGTCTGGGCGGTTTCTTTTTGTTGAAACGTTTCGTCCTTCATCCAAAAGACTTCATCCATCCAAGGGACTGACTGGCCATGATGGGGAGAGGGCGGACTCCAGAAACCATCTGAGCACCATCAAACCATCACAGTTATAATTGAGTCCTCATGACTCATTGAGACTAACCTGTATAAATAAAGGCTGAATGAAAAATAAAAAACTGGTTGACCCATATGTGAAGGTGAGTTTGTTGCAGATCCTCAGACTGATGAAGTCTTTTGGATGAAAGATGAAACGTTTCAACAAGACGAAACCATCCAGAGGACCTGACTTAACTTTGTTGGATTGTTCTACCTGGATTAATGGGCATGAATCAGGAACTCTCTGGTAGGATTTATAGATTATAGGACACAAGCAGCACATGCAACCAGAAAGAGCCGTGGCAATTAATTAAAGTTTATTTATTTTGTCTTGTTCCGTGTGTGTGCATCTTTAAAGATGTGTAAAAAAATAAAAACCATTAATGTAAAAAAAAAAAAAAAAAAAAAGTGCCAAAGAATACTTTAGCAAACCACCGAGTGTGAATCGGGGACAAAAGTTATCCCAAGAAGGAAGGTGTGTGTGCGCGTGCACGCGCCCCTCGGCTGGCGCTTGATGTGGCACCGCCTGCACTCATCCCCACCGCCTCTCGCTCGATTGGTCACGCCTTAGCGCCGCGGTTGCGTTCGGGGCCAAAATGGCTGCTTCCACCTCCCCGCAGACCCAAACAATAGCGAAGCGGCTGTCTGGCTCCGGCCGCCGGGAGTCACTGCGGACCGGTGAGTACCGCCGCGCGCGCACTCGCCGCGTGCCCTCGGATCAGTCGACGGCGGCGGCACGTCTCGCGCCGCATCTTCTCTGCCGCGCGCGCACCGCCTGTCAGTGTGCAGCCAGACAACAGCGGTTAAAACAAGTCTTTATCGCGGGAGACCATGAAAAAGAGAGCCCGCGGCGCGCCGGGCCACGCAGGTAGCTCATGTCACGCACGTCACCAGCTCTCATTGTTGTCTCAGAGGGGGGCAGTTGGCCCGGTTTAGGAGGTAAATCGGGATAAGTGTCTCACTTGTGCAGTTGTGTTCGTTTGTGTCCTGGATGCCGGCGAGCCGTTCATTCTGTCGTCTCGTGCGTGTTTAGCGCCGCGGGACGTGTTCAAATCGCTCTTACTCAATCTTCGCCATTTTACTTTGATTTTTGATGGAGGACACGCTGTGCTTTCATGCGCTAGCATGTTTTACTTTATTTATTTTTTAAAACAAACCCAGAAACGTGTTTAAAGCACGCGGTAACTTGCGGGATGAACGTGACGGGTAACCGCGTTCGTCTGATGTCAGCTCGTCCCGACATGCGTGTCGCCCGCAGATAGAAAGTCCAAGTTGTCGGCGGTGGTCATTAGAGACGAGATGCTCCTTGTTGGTGTGGGTGTGATGAGGCTGCTGTGGAGGTGTCACAGCTCCTCAGGAGGAGGTGAGGAGGGGGGCTGAGCCGCCCACCGCACAGAAAGCATTGTCTCCTTTGATTTACCGGTTTGTCGCAGAAAATGGCACTTTTGTCCCAGGAAATGTCTGCCTGCGGAGCCTGCCATGTTTGTTTCATTACAGCTGTGCGTGACATCTGGCAGGGTCGTGATCTGTAATTGTTTTTATCGCACATTTCTTATTTAAAGAGGTTATAAATGTGCAACCTTCATCTTAGTTTGGAGCCATTTATAGGGTGCTTTATTTTTAAGAGTCATCCGTTTAACCGTTTTATGGAGTTTCAGCACTTATTTCTGTTGCGTTCAGGTGATGATGATGATGAGGAGGAGGAGGAGGAGGAGGGCCTGCGGTTTGCCCCTCTAGATGCTCGGAGCTCCAGTCCCAAGAAGAATAGCAGCCTCTCCCCCCAAAAGGATGCAGACAGCAAGGGTGAGGAACTGATGGGGATTCTAAGGCTACAATCATATGCATGTTGGATTTGTCACGTCAGTCTGAACATGACAAATCTGACCCTGGTCTTTTTCATGTGGTACAAAATCAGATACATATCCGATGTTTTTCAAAGCCTCTGTCTGAACTTATGTCCGACTTTTACCTCAGTGACGTGGGGGTAAGCGGATCCTTCCAAATATTATTAATATTTATACCAAGCTTGTGTATTTTCTTGGAACTCAACAAATCTTCAGCTACAGAACAGAAGTCCAGTTGCTTTGTCTTATTTCTTAGATTTGCCCATTTGCATTAGAAGCAATTATATTGTGGTGGGGGACACACTGGTGGTGGGGGGGTCTGGGGTCCTCCCCACTAAAAATTTTGACTAAAGTAGACGCAATTTCCTGCATTCTGGTGTATTTTAACGTGTTGTTAAACATCTACGTTTACCTGCATAAGTAAACACTTGATTCAATAACTATTTTAGAGCGCAACAATAAGTAGCCTGACCAACAGCTCCCCTTGTGTGAATTTCATTAATTCAACCTTTATTTAGACAGGTAAATCCCATTGAGCCTCGAGGACTCATTTACAAAAGAGACCTGATTTCAACAAAGAACGATGACAACAACGGACAACAGCGACAACAATAGACAAATATAAAAAGGCATACAGTTTTTTGGGTTTTTTTTTTATAATACAAATAAGATGGCAAAAAAAGTAACAAAAACAGCTACAAACCGGATTCCAAAAAAAGTTGGGACACTAAACAAATGGTGAATAAAAACTGAATGCAATG